GAAAACGAAACAGTCGTGGCAGGCTTTCCTCACTTTCCTGTCGAAGACGTCGATGGCGTAGAAGTAGTCTAAACTCGCTTTAACGAAAGCATTCACCCGGTAAAAATGACTTGTAGCCGGTGCGTAGTGGCTGGTGGTAGCCACGTCCGACATTTTGTTTTCTCGTGTGGTCTCATCTTGGGTCTCAGCTGAGACCCAGCGTAAGACGCCGGTTGAGCCGCTTGCTCGAAACGAAATCGGAACCGTCTCAGCCAAGTCAGAACTTGAGTTCGGTACCTACTAGAGCACTATATAGCTCCTACGGAGCAGAGTAGCGCAATCCTTTGAACCCCGTGTTTCGCCGACAACATGGCCGACAGAGCAGCTAGGCGCGAGTCACGTGGTACTCAGGGTTCCAAGAGGCGGCCCGCCCTATGGGAGAATACATGGAGATCGACATAACACGGCTGATTAAAAAAATAACGGCGAGTTCACACTTTTCAAAACTAGCCTGTCGTGAATTTAGTAAGGCGCTAAACACTTTATCAAAATTTTAATAATATCGGATGCGTGTGCAAATTTTGAGAAGGCAATTTCCAGGGCAATGGCGTTTGAAGCAGACGATTTTTGCTCGCAGCGGAGATGGGCTTTTCGGGTTGGCCGGAGCGGGTCACGTGAATGGTGTGACGTCGCCGTGTCGTCTGCTGCATGATGCCGCTCAGGCAATTTTTTAAAAAAAGTTACGTCCTTGCATGGCACAAAACTTATCGCAAATTATTCTAAAATGTTTCATTATTATGTCAAAAATGATTGCCATTCCGTACATCCCCACAAAACTGAAGAAACAACGATTTTCTCACGTTCTCCATGCATTTCTGACCGCAGTTGGAACCTCCGGGCGTTCGCCGCTAGTCGCCGAGAGACGGCGTTCTAGATTGCGCTACTCTGCTCCGAAGGAGCTATATAGTGCTCTAGTACCTACAACGGAGTGAGCAGTACCTCGAGAGGGAATCTGGGGAAAACAGGGGAAAGCGAAGAATACAGACGTGGATGGCGACACGGGGTCGTCTGCTTCAGCTACGCCGCGATCGTTTTGGGCAGCGACGAACGACGACCGTCGTTTAAGCGATGTAAGCCATTTGGCGAGTGACGAGACAAACGACGGCAACCCCATTTGCTGTTGCTCGGTCACTCTCGCGACAAGGCAAACAGCATCAAAGCGGCGGGGGCAAGCGACGAAGGTGATGAGCGACGTGGCCTCTCTAGAAATCCAAAAATCGAGCGACGTATCGCTTACATGCGGTTCAGCCTTAACTGCGTCATGTATTTCGTGCAAACCTCGCTTACATGTGAAAAGCGACAGCGAGCCGCGGTTCTGAACGTGTCGTCTGTCACCACCATCCAGCGCATACGCCGAATAAAGGTGTCTACAAAATGTTTGCTCGAGCTAAGGTGCCCCATTTTTTTAAGAAAAAGGAATAGCTCTGTACGTCGCCGGTCCATCACGAATCCCTTCCAAGGTAAAGAAGAAAGTAATTTGGTACGTAGATGAAAAGTTTCAATGGGTGAAGGAAATGGAGAAACGAAAACGCGTAATTCGAGAGATATTTTACAAGATTACATAAGTTGCTAAGAAAGAATGTCAGGAGATCGCATCCGTGCTAAACTCGCGGCATCCATTGACGCTTTGCATAATGCTTCCTTTGAAACGTTTTTATTTAACGACGAAAGAAGTGGGCACTACATGCCCAAAACATGCATTTTGCAGCTGCAGAGTTGACAGTTTCTACGAAGGCACACTCCACGACCAGCGAGTTGTACGTCTTACTGCACATAAAAATGAAACATTCTTTGTGCTGAAGGAATTTTGTTTGCTTCTTATTTTCCCGGCTAAATTATATAAGTAATGAAGAGTTCTGGATTTTACCACAATCAAGCAAAATTCTGTGCTGAGGGAAATTTTATTCACTTCTCATTCCCCAAAATAAATTATAGAAGCAGTCAAGAGTTGTGTATTTCAACCATTTAATACAATCAAGTTAAAACAACGAATGCGCTTGCCGCAATCAGCCGAGATCCAATGCATCAACAAAATATAAAAAGAGCCTTGTCTTCCACAGGCACAGGGCGCAACAACCACCAACTCGCACCACTGGCTGAAGCTGCGCTGGCAGTCGTCAGTACAAGCCCAAACCTTTGCTGGCATAGAAGGGGGCATCGACACCAATTAGCGAGCTGTCATGTTACTGCTGTTTCTACGGTTACACTTGAATTCATGATGTGCCATTTGATGCAGTCAAGTCTAGAGCCTTCAGGTTTACACAAATAGCGGTTCTACTAGCAAAGCTAACATTGTATTTATAATCATATCTTGGGTATGCAGTACTAAATACTAAGCCCAATGGAGGAAACATTCCGGCATGTTCCATCCAGAGCAAGAAGAATCCATGCACATCCAAGAACACTAAAACTTAGAGCCATGTTACTCGAGTTAAAATTCAAGGTCGGCATTCCAGTGAAAGGCCACTGCACTTATGGATAGCAGACTTAGTCTGCTACACTGTTGAAATGCTAGAGGGTACATTTTCCAAGAGTTATGCAATGCTAACGATACAAAGGTGATTGTGTTTCCACCACACCATCATTACAAAATACACAGGCTAGAAGTTTTGCGAAGTGAAGCCGAAACATGACAAGCAGCAACACAAATTTCTTTTGTATCGAAAACTACATCTGGGTAGATACGAAAGTCACAAACACAACACTTCGAACTACTTTTCTTTGGGTTCATTGTATTGAGATGCCAAGTTAAATCAATGCAAAGACAAAGCTGAGAGTCTGCCACGAATATGTATAAGATTGGCCTATCTCACTCATTTAACAGTTAATGTTTACTGGTGTGGAAAATCGAGAAGGATGAAGTGAAAACGACAGCGATACTTGGAAGACGACGAGGAGGCAGGAGGTTTTTTTGTTGTATACCTTGAACTATAACAACGGCCGATTAAACGGTACAACATTTACTGCTCGGACTATTTAATTCTTAACTGAGAAGGATACTCGACATTTTGGAGCCGAAACCCGGGAAACTGCTTCACGACATCACCTCCGAGCCGAGACGAAGCTGCAAATGTACCAGGTACTGGTGACTTTCGTTGCTAACCCTAACAGTGGAACTCTGAGACTTTAACGACGGAGGCAAATCATCGGGATTGTAACGCGAAGATCTTTCAAGAGGGATTCCTGCCAACCAAGCGAAAGCCAATCGACTCTAACGAATCGCAATGGACAGACTGAAGGCGAAGCGTACCACTTGACGAGCCCAAAATACCAGGATGATAAACGACGCTACCACACTGCTGAACAGCCCCGATATAGACCTGAGCAGGCTCATCGGATTCAAAGAACGCCTGACTACGAGCAACGCGGAGCTTGATAGAATTAACGAGGAGTTAATTCTATCAAGTGTGTATTGATAGAATGTAAGTATTGAGTGAGAGCCGCTGCTATCAGCAGAGTTGGAGGACGAGTACGCTGCTGCTGCCGAATGTCAAGGCCATGCCGTCATGTTTATTGCGCAGCTTGGCTTCAAGATTGCGGAATCGGAGAACAGTAGACGCCCCATGGTTCAGGCGACAGCAACGACTACGCCCAATGCGCATGACACAGTCTTCAGGATGAGTGGATCCAGACTACCAAAACTGGACATCACTACTTTCAGAGGGGACGTCACCCAGTGGCAGACGTTTTGGGAACAGTATGAAGGAACAATTCACTCAAATCGCACGTTGTCAACGATGGATAAATTTCATTATTTGCGCCGCTACTTGACTGGAGACTCAGCAGCTGCAGTAGCAGGGCTACCCACAACGGAAGCGTGCTATGCTGATGCCATTCAACTACTAAAGCAACGTTTTGGTGATCAAAAGAGGATAGAGCAAGTACACCTGGCGGCCCTTCGAAATCTTCCCCGTGTTCGATCTTCTACAGACACCATGGGTCTGAGGAACTTGTACGACACTATGCAGCTGAACATTCGAGCTCTCAACTCACTAAACGTGCCGACCGGAAGTTTCGCGGCCATGCTTTGCGATATCCTCATCACATCGATGCCTCATGACATTGTGGTGCAATACTACAGACAAGTTTCATACAAGGCTCCAAACAACGCAGCAGCAGAGGAGGCAGGAGGTTTTTTTGTTGTATACCTTGAACTATAAGAACGGCCGATTAAACGGTACGACATTTACTGCTCGGACTATTTAATTCTTAACTGAGAAAGATCCTTGACAACTGGTGGCCATAGCTGAGCTCGTTGATGCTGAGCAAATGCCGACGGCAAGCTTCCACAACAATTGCAACACGCACATTGCCCACACGAAGAATGTCTTTTTTGGTATATCAATAAGAAGTCATCCTGAGCCGTAAGCTTGAATATGGTGTCCAATGAGCACTGACAAGCATACCCCCTAAATTTGCATAACCACAAGCACATCTGATACTTAGCATAGTAGTCTTTTCACCATTGGAAAGAAACACAGGGACAAGCAACCAGAAAATTGGGTGGCTTGGACCTGTTATGACTTGTTTTGTATGGTTCCTAACGCCATCTATGCTGTCGCATACATTCCCAATAAAAGGCCAGCCCCATTAGAGCTAGCCACGCGGCCATGCAGCAATGCCACGCTCTTACCTTCGCAACCAACGTGTCTTTGTGACATTCCTACTAGAACACAACATATCAGCATCAACACTGCACACTGGCTCCACTTGAAGCCAGCTGCATTCACAACTGATAGCCACGACAGCTAATATTGGGCTTGACCTGCACAACGTATTTTGGCTCTGCTCGAGCCTAGCTACTTTTACAATAGCCACAACGGCCAAGACCTGAGGGATCAAGCTTGATCCACAAGCACACAAAAAGATTTCCTGAAACAAAAATAAATAAATAAATAAGAGTGCTTGCAAAATATGTACAGGGGTGACATGACACACAACCTTGCGGATTGTCCTCAGGGTCAACACAGCCCCAGCCAATGTGCGGCTAGCAACTGATGAGGCTGGGCCAGAAGTTGGGCTTTCAGCCACAAGGTCGATGTGGACTCCGGGGTCATTTTCCTCGAGGTGCCGGAGTTTGAGGGAACGAGACTACCAGCCTTCGGACTGGTTGCTGGAAGAGGACAAGACGTCCCTGGAGTCTGGTGCAGCAGCTGCTCTGCCACGCCGGGAAGGGCCTCTGCTACGCCGGGAAGGGCTTCTGCCACGCCGGGAAAGGCCTCTGCCACGCCGGGAAAGGCCTCTGCCACGCCGGGAAAGGCCTCTGCCAATGGCGGAGGGACCACCTGAGCCTGAGGCAGCAGCTGCTGCTGCTGAAGGGCGACCAGTACCACCGGGCCGACGACGACCGGGACCCCCTCGTCCACGACCAGCCTGAAGCCCCAGCACACCGCCCGCAGGTTCGGCAGCCGGCACACGGGCTGCAGACAGGCAGTATTATAAAGACCTGGTCGTGCAAGCCAGAAAACATGCCACTCAAGCAGCAATGCGTCCTTGTTTGGCTAAATACAGCCCTTGAAGAGCTCAGAACGGCACAGGCAGAGCGCAAAGCATCAAAAGAGACGCAGAATGCGACCCTATTTGTTTAGAGAATGGTGCAAGACTGTTTTTGCCCTGCTTGGACTAGCTGCTTAAGAAGAAGGCCCTAAAGGAAGGGATTGTAGATATAATAAGCATATGTTTTCTGGTTAGTGCTCGTCGATGTCTCCACCTTTAGTATCTAGCATGCACAAATCTTCCACTGCATTATCTCGTTTGGCAGCATGCAGAACTAAAGAAATGATGGCTTCATAAAAGGTATGCAGCAACTTTTACACACTCAGCCAAGTAAAAGCGAACATCATTACTGTATAAACACGTGCAAGGGCCCCACTTCAAGAAAAATGTTTGCCTTCCACACCACCGCATTTGTACAGGCTTGTGCAATGTCACCGCATGCAGTCAGCGTCAATGCTTTTCTTCTCTTTGGACTCGTTACAATCCTTTCCCTTCTTGCTGCCTTTTGTCAAAGTTCCTTGAGGTAATTTGAGCCAAAATCCCAGCACATTTGTCTTCTTTTTGCATTTCAAGAAGACGACAAATGCATCCACCATTTGCTGATGTCAAAGCTGAGTGGGAGTGAGAATGAAAGAAAGTACAAAATGCAGCTGCAAAATGGCAGTGCAACGTCGTAAACGCTCATACACGCAGTTGCGTTTTAGTGTGTTTGACTGCATTACATCGAAAAGTAGCCATGAGTCGGCAGATTGTCTGTAGTTCACATAAAACGAAGCACCTAATTTGCTTATCACGCGGCATACAAAGTATATATTTCCTTGTTACCTGCAGTCGCAACGCAGTCTAACGCAACAGACTGATCTGACTGAGAATTCGGCACATGCGTGGTGCCACCATAACTTTAGTTCAGAGGAGGCAGACGGCGGTGCCAGGACAATGCACGAGAGGACTCGTACCATCTCGTGCTTACACAAGCAGAAAGACTGAAGTTCTCTTGATGCATTGCAGCAGTGGTGGTGTAGTCAAACTGGCTGGTGAGATCGGTCTATTGCCTGTATGGGCCTTTACGCAAGACTGCCACTCAGGAATGTGTTTCCACAGAACAAGAGATACTGCAAGAAAGGCACGTTTCAAAACCAAGATTGCGATTCAGTGTAACGAATCCCTTCGATTTTTATTTTTTTGTTTTGTTTTGTTGTTGCTACATTTCTTTAGCGGGAGTGGTCTGTCAAAGCAGGCCGTGAATCCCAAAAAGAAGCGACCGGGGACTGGCTCGCTTACAAGGAGGTTATAAGGGGCAGGAGGTGGCGCCCGTATTCTCCATACATGGAGCGAAGTGTAACGGAAGTAGGCGTGACCATGAACTCTTCTCACCCAATGGGGAGCTCGTCAAATTGATTTTTGGGGCAAACAAGCCTCGTCGCCATGGCATTTCCGTGGCAACGCTGTTGTTTGCCCCAATATTTCAAGACAGCGATGGCAGCGTCCACTGAATCGGTGTCGAACAGGCGAGATTTGGAGCCCAACAGTTGCCTGACCAGTAGGAAGTGGGTGTGTAGCGCACGCTCTCGACACCGCGAGACCGTGCCTGGAGCGTCGTCTAGAACGAGCCGTCGTAGCGCGGCTTTGGCAAGAAATCGCGTGTCAGTCGTCGTACACAAAAACGTTGAGAATTGCATCGCGGGTTGAGAAAGCCAAACAAACCCTGCTTCCTGAAGATGTTGGTTTCACTCCGCCGTGATGAGAATGCGCGTTCGCAACGAAACATCTTTTGGTGCGCCGATCGAATCGAAAGCCAGCCGCGACAGCGAGCAGACGAAGCAGACCGCAGGCATGGAGCAGACATAGCCCAAGCCTAACGACCGAGCGGAGAGCAGACGATGGGAGCCTGGTTGAATTTAGTTTGGATGAGAGCGCGTCGGTGCGCGAGGCAGTCTGGGCTTGGGTTCTTTTTCCGGCGTCACTGGGTACGACGTCATGCCAGGTCCTGCCCTATTTAAACGTCCTTGCTCTCTTATCTCAACTCCGCCTTGTGTACTGTGTACTGTACGCATCCTACCGAGAACCGATTGCTTTTTGTGTGTGTGTTCTGTTGTGCCACGCCGAATGTATCTAAGAGAAACTTCCTGCGGTCTGGCTTGTTTATGTTAAGGCCGCCTTGTGTATGTGTACCACCCAGAATCAAAGGTTTGTTTTGTTTGTGTTTGACTTGTGTTCGGTTCAACCATGTGGGGAAGCCAAAGGGAAACGGTAGGGGCACAGCTCGTTAGCGGAAAGGCAACTTTTTGTATGCGCTGAACGGAGAATGTTGGCTGACCGCGTACACCACCGCCCAATGACGCTGTTCCAGCTGGATGAAGTGTGAAAGTAGCGTTGTGTTTGTTGTTTTTCTGAAAACCACAAAATTGAGTTTTGATTGGAGCGAAGAAGCTTGTTTCTGATTCGTCAAAGCAAGTGTCTCCAGAATGCTGCTAGCTCTTGTATATAGAAGTGGACTGGCAGGAAAAAAGGCCAGAATCCAGAGAGCAGTCGGAGACTCTGCTCTCCTGTCCTGCGGTCGTGAAGACGGCAATGAGTTGAGCCTGCCGCTGGAAAGTCATTGTTCCCCATCGAGTTCTGTTGGTCCCTGTGTTGCGGCGTAGGTGGGTGAGGAAGTGCACCAGATGAAATCGTCCGACTGACTGGACCAAAACCATGAAAAAGGCATTCATGCCCCCTAGATCAGCGTCGATGGCAGATAAGACTCATTTTTACTTGTACTGCGCCCGTTCGCTTTGAGGCTGTGGCTATGTATTCAGCTACTGTTGGGTTTTCTGTTTGTCTGCTCACAACCGTGTGCTGCGCATCGCCTAGTTTTTTTGCGTGAGCTGTTTTTGTCATCTTGGTGAAGGCAGTAAATATCTTTTGATTTTCACCCTCTACCCTGTCATCGCTTTCCTGCTCACGTTTACACCATGAGTGGCCCGTTTTGTATGTCGACCAGTTGAATCATCTTTTTTTTTTCTTTTCTTCCTATGTGAGCTGTGGACTGTGTGTTTTTTACGTTATTTCTATTAATCAACAAAGGGGCCCACAGACATTGTGACAAGCTTGCACATGTATGGCAGTCCAGGTCTGTTAAAATGCTTTTGTTCTTTCCCGGTTCGAAATGGAGGTGTATTAGACCATTAATTTTGATTGCAAGTACATTAAGTGTTGGATGCACAAATATATATATTTTTTAAATCCCATGTGGCCAATACCTTGAAAAGATATCTTGTAACAAAAAGTGCTGCTCTTACACGAGTTTATAAGGGATAAACTTGTGTTTGTAGGCTTAAATCTCACCACGAAAGTGTTGGTGCACAATTGCATGTCGGCGCGCAACCCCATCGTCTGCTTCGGGTGGCGATGGAGGCACGGGAACCTCAGGCGGAAGGTCACAGTCACCTTCCCTGCACGTGTAGTGCTGTGCAATGTTGTGCATCACACAGCACGCCACAGCGATGGTGCAGCAGCGTTCTGGCAGCATCCTCAGCTCGGCGTGCAGGCAGTGGAAGCGGCGCTTCAGCTGCCCGATCGTCCTGCGATCGAAAAACTTCATTAGGCCCCTGGCACATTTTATATAACCTAAGGCAGGCTTAACTGCCACCCTTCTCCTGTACCACACTGCAAGAAACACAGTTAAGTGATGCCACTCGTTATCGGCAGGAAGGGGGAGGCACGGAGAGATTGTGTTCTGAACTAGCCTTGAAAGAGAACTGGTTCATTTTGACAGAGAGGGCACTCCATCCAAGAGGACTACAGTAAATAGACAAAGAGGGAGGAGAGGCTCATGTTTGCGAATGGTGCGGTGATGCCGCGAAAATGAACAGACCTCTCAAAAAACTCTTTATGCTGATTTAATGGAGAAGAAGTGGATAGATGGACCCCTTGATTCGGGCACCAGCTATCCGCATTTATGAAACTGCCAGGCACGCCGAACATAATCTGGACACTCCATCAAATCAAGGTGCATCACCTGAATGTGTTTGCTGCATCGTGTTTTCTACGCAGACAGTGGAAAGAGGGTGCCACATAAATAAAAAATCAAGTTAGGCTTGCAACATGTACAGCAACTCACATCTTCTAACAAGACGTGCATCCCTCGTGGCATCAAGCACGCATTATAGGCTGTGGGTAAAAAGAATGTTCTCCACAAACAAGCACTGGGGCTGAGCTGTCATCAGTGTTTGTATCAGGTACCGCACTCATTTTGCATCTCTTTATTGACAAGACTTCCTATACTTAGGATAAACTTTCTGTGCAATGAAGAGAAATCTAAAGGGGCGGAGCTAACGGCTCTGTGTTATCACACCAAGCAGTTCTGTTAAGTTCTGGATTAACAGACATGCACTTCCTGCAGTTCACTCCTTCGTATGAGAATTGCGGTTGGGGGCACTGAACTGCAACAGCCGAGATATTTTCCTACATTTCACCCGTTTCTAAACACAAGCGAACGCTTTGACTGAAGCACCCGGACCGACTTGCAAGGTAAATTACACAGGTTTCAATCTCGTAGAATTATATATGTCTTGCGACCGACATGAATATGGGGCATCAATTTAAGAAATGCCATGAAGTTCATCCGTGCTGCAGTTTTGAGGTTATCGATACGCTAACTCTTCTGGTGCTGAAAAATCATAGCGCTTACGCAATATACCGAAATAGGAACATTCCCAAGCAAAGGCGCAAAGTCAAATCCCATTCGGATCGCATTCAATTACTGCTGGCCCTAGGGGGATTCGGTGGTGCACCACAGCTCTGAAAATATATAGCGAAAGCGCATGCTGCAGAACCCAGAGATTCTGGGCTCAAAAGTCGTGGCTCAATTCCCACTCCTGCCCAATGCACGTGAGAAAGATGCCATGTTTGTTCTGCAGGGAACAAGAAAACCTGCGGCAAATTTAAAACAAGAAACCCCGAAGGAGCTAAAAAGAAATGCTACAAGTCTGGCCCACCCTGACTAATATTATAGTAACATTGTGGAATGAAAGCTAAAAAGAACAATTTTAACTTGGTGGTGAAAGTAGAGTGAAGCTATATGCACTCCGGAGTGCATTTCGGAAGAAATGGCTATACTCACTCCGCAGAGAGCTCATGCCGATCGGGCCACCCTTTTCTAACGGCGCGGTATCACTGGGGAGCGTGTTAAGCCAGCCCCCCGCCTGCATTCACGCCGCTTCGCGGCGACAGTGTACGGTTGCTAATTACAAAACATAGCCAGTACATGCCACTTCGCGACGTCCAGTCTGCAAACCAAGCCCCGCCGTCCCCGATCGCACCTCCGGAAAGGGAGTCCCATACCATTTAGTTCTGCGAAGTTTCGTCGACAACATTCGGTTTTCTTAGTGATCATCGCAAAAAAGAAATGTCGTAAATATCGCCAAATGCCTCGACAAAACAAAATGTTCAAGAAAAAAGAAAAACAAAAGTAGACCTACTGCGGATCGAACCCGCGTCCACTTGCATACAAAGCAGACACCTTAACCCCTATGCTATGCTATCGCTAAGAAAACTCGTTGTGACCATTCGTTTTATACGAGTTTAGCGGAGTGCGTATAGCCATTTCCGTCTGAAGTGCACTCCGGAGTGTGTATAGCTTTACTCGTGAAAGTATACCCAGCAAATTATTTTAGGTGAACTATATTTAGCTGTGCAGTGAAACGGCGTGCTTGGGCTCTGTAGCCCCTATCTGCAATGCCACGATGGTCACTTTGAAAATCTCGTTGTGACAGTTGTGTTTTTATACGAGAACCAAACCGTTTTACGTCGTGCGTTTACCATTCTCTGGTCGAGGTGCACGACGTCGTGCGTATAGCCTTAGTCTTCTCTGAGAGCAGCTAGCTCTAAAGCCTACCTTTCGACCACGGACCGAGTCGTTGCGTGCGTCTGGTTGTACGCACACTCGGCCGGCGTGGTCGGCGATCGAAAAGGCGCCATCAACCAAGGCCTGCACGGGTAGCCGCTGTCGCCGATGAGGAGGCCGCCGTACGCGCCCGTTGCGAAGTTCTCCCCGACACTGCTCTGCGACAGCACGTACGAGTCGTGGACGCTTCCGGGCCACTTGGCAACCACGTTGAGAATCCTTGAGCGCGCGTCGACCACCAGCTGCACGTTGATGGAATGGTAGAAGTGTCGGTTCACGAACACTTCCTCGTGCAGCGGTGGCCCTTGGATCCGAACGTGGGTGCCGTCGATGGCTCCTACGACGCCCGGAAAGCCGTCCACGGCGTAGAACTGCCGCTGCAGTTCGGGGACTTCCGCTGCTGTTGGCCACCTGAAGTAGAAAATGTGATTTACACTGTCAGTTGAAAAATAAATTATAACGTTGGTTGAATCTAGCACATGTTCGATTATGACGTAGTCGGACCGTTCGCATAAAGCTTGTCACGATCGAGTGTGAATCAGTACGTATTATTCGCTACTGTTTTGAAACGCACCCTCCTTTCCGAAACGTTCTTCAGTATCCACCAGCTACTCCCGCTAACATGTTGTGAAACACGTTGTTTTTTCGTAATAGCCGATTCACACGACGGACTGATCCGCGGACGGATTGATCACGTGACGACATATCCGCGGTTCGTCCGTCTCCCAAGCGCATCCACACGAGGGAGACGACGAGCAGACGCCAGTGAGGACGGACCGAACCTGTTCGCACCCCACAGTGCCGCGAAACTCCAACATCGCACCGTAGCACCGTTGTCTAAGAGAGAAATCGACGTTTGCTACCGCGATTGAAAATCGTACGCTGCTTTTACGCACAGATCGAGACAAAACACCGGGGCAGGCTTCGCACCAAGCGCCACTAACTTTACTAACCCAAAGCATGACAGTGACAGGCATGGTCCTGCTCGAGAAAGCCTCGGCGTAGACGCGACGAAGTTCTGGGCTCGCGGAGGGGCGTTTGGAGATGCCTTCACGCACTCCGCGCTCGTGCACAACACTCAAGCACACCACATTCACAACTTACTGGAGAGGTCTTGCTCGGTGAAATCCTGATCGGACGTGCAAGAATTACCGCGGCGTGCTAGACAAATTTCGACGGGAGCTTCTTGACACGGACCCGGAAGAGTACCGAAACCTGCGTCGCGTCAGCCCGACAAGTTTCTGGAGTTTCTTTCACTCGTGGAACCAAGAATCGCGCGTCAAAATGAACCAACAACGCACAGAACACAACGATGCGCCATTTTGTTTTGAACGCCCAGAAGCAAAAAACCAAGAAAACCATGTACCGTTGCCAGACTAAACGCTTTCCAAGTCAATCTGCCGCCAAACGTCCGCGAGTGAAAAAGGCACTCGACTTTATCAGTCCGCGCCTCCGCGGAGGAGTCGCGGATCGCGGGAATCGGTGACGTGCCGGTCACGTGGTACACGGTCCGCGGACGAAAATCGCGATTCGGTCCGTCGTGTGAATCGGCTATTAATACAAAGATAGTGCCGAGGGTGCCGAGGACTAGAGCACTATATAGCTCCTTCGGAGCAGAGTAGCGCAATCTAGAACGCCGTCTCTCGGCGACTAGCGGCGAACGCCCGGAGGTTCCAACTGCGGTCAGAAATGCATGGAGAACGTGAGAAAATCGTTGTTCCTTCAGTTTTGTGGGGATGTACGGAATGGAAATCGTTTTTGACCTAATAATTGAACATTTTAGAATAATTTGCGCGAAGTTTTGCGCCCCGCAAGGACCTGAATTTTTTTTAAAAATTGCTTGAACGGCATCATGCAGCAGACGACACGGCGACGTCACACCATTCACGTGACCCGCTCCGGCCAACCCGAAAAGCCCATCTCCGCTGCGAGCAAACATCGTCTGCTTCAAACGCCATTGCCCTGGAAATTGCCTTCTCAAAATTTGCACACGCATCCGATATTATTCAAACTTTGATAAAGTGTTTAGCGCTTTACTAACTTCACGACAGGCTAGTTTTGAAAAATGTGAACTCGCTGTTATTTTTTTAATGAGCCGTGTTATGTCGATCTCCATGTATTCTCCCATAGGGCGAGCCGCCTCTTGGAACCCTGAGTACCACGTGACTGGCGCCGAGCTGCTCTGTCGGCCATGTTGTCGGCAAAACACGGGGTTCAAAGGATTGCGCTACTCTGCTCCGTAGGAGCTATATAGGAACCGTGCGCATCTAATTCAAGCCCCGACCAGGGCGCCCCTAGCGGCAAACGGGTCCATCGCATCGGGGAGCTTCTGTCAGTCGCTGCGTTGGTTGTGCGTTGTAGTGGGTTAGCCGATTAGCGTTGTAATTTCTGAGATGGCTCTTCCGCACCAAGAAAGCCGCAACAATTGCTGCGTGGTCGGCTGCAACAGTACGTCGAAGATCGCACACGGCAGGAAGTACTACATCGTCCCTTCGAAGCCGTACGAGGCGGAGTACTGCGCGACCTGCAGGTGCGACTTGTGCGTCCATACAGGTTAGTGGCGTTTCTTACCTTTCTGTTCGCGCTTTGTTTAAGCTGCTGACGAATAATACAATTAACTTTTTTCTATTCTAGCGACGATGGAACCGCATCGACACCGACGGCAAACTCTAAAGTATGCGGCAAATACTTCACCGGAATCGAGAAGCGGTCGCCCCCCTAAGCCTACACTTGGATGTTTCCATCAGCCTACAGGAAGATAGTAGTGGGAATCGCGGAACGGCGCGAAAAAAATCGTCCAGTTATTGTCAAGCTGATTCAGAAATAAACGTACATAATTACCACGGTCCACTCAACGCCAACTACATTTTTTTGCGGGCACGCTTAATTTTGTTAGCGGAGTACGGCGCTCCGTGACATCCACTTGTCTGTCGAAACGGACCTCCTTCACGTCGTACACGCGGCCAGATTCACGAAGGAGTTTTCCCTTCTTCATACTGGTACCACGGAAGAAGCTTTCTAGATTCGTAACCGCCTTAAACCCCGTCGTAATCACCCCGGGAACACTGTCCACTGTGCTGCTCATCGCCATTGCTTCCCCCCGATGATTCTGCACCGGCTACCGAAGAAGTTTTCCGGATTCGTAATCGCCCTCTGTCCTCTGTGGTGTTCGTTGCTATTACTTCCCGATGATTCTGCGGCGACGGCACCGGCTACCGAAGGAACTTTCCGAATTCGTAACTTCCTTAAATTCCTTCGTAATCACGACGGGGATACTGTCTGACGTGCTGTTCGTCGCCATTGCCCCCCGATGCTCCTGCGGCGGCTACCGCTAGGTCGCGGCGAACAATAGGCGACCGCCGCGACACGGCCGGCATGCTCGCTTCCTATAGTGCTCTACCGAGGACCACACCCACCATTACGGACCGTAGTAATAACCAGACATCGCTTTGAGCACGCATATCGAGGGCTAAATAATGGCGCTGCATGTTAGTGAAAAAAAAAAAGGTTTTCTTTAACGAAAACAAGTTGAAGAAGTCTTTTCTCTCACGAAACAAGTTGAATAAGTCTCTGTTCCCCGAAATCCAAAATTACGTTGCAGCTGACTGGCCCACCGGCAAAAAGAAACGCTAGTGTTAGGACTTCTTTTTTTTCTCACCGTATGAAGTGCGGCGCTTGCTTTGCCAGAGCCAGGGCCACTCGTCGCACGCACCGTGACGCTGTAGATTCATGCAGATGCAGAAAGTCCCCCGCCGTGATCAAGAAGGTGCCGGTAGCGAAGAATTTCAGCGCTAGGAGCACTTGAATCAGGACGGGGGTTGCATGGCTGCGTCTCGTTGGTCGTATGAGGTCGCTGGCCAAGACGTCGGCGATGTACATGATCCCATCGCGGCCAAACCGAAAACGACGCTGGAGGCCCTCTTCGTCGAAAACGTCGAAGGGGTGAAAGCGGTCGCGGAATACGCGGTCCCGCGACAGCATCCACGCGGCAAAGATGGCTTGGACCCGACTTGTCGTAGCCACGTCCGACATTTTGTTCACTCTGAGACCGCCAGTGAGCCTTCTCCGTGGCTGTCTCACGATCTGAGACTAGAGTTGAGTCAGAGACTCGGTTTTGGTCTCAAGTCCAGACTAAGTTTCGTTTCGAGCAAGTGGCTAACCTCTGAGACTGTCTCAGTTTGGGTCTCCGTTTGGGTCTTAAATCGGCCGCCAGCTAATTTGCTACGGGGCTGTCCCCCGGCTTGAGACACAACTTGAGTCAGAGACTCGGTTTCAGTCTCAAGTCCAGACTAAGTTTCGTTTCGAGCAAGTGGCTCACGTTCGGTCTCGGCTGAGACTGTCTCAAGTTGTGTCTCAACTCTTTCGAGCAAGCGGCCCCAAGTCACCGCCCGTCGACATCAACAGCGAGCAGACGTCATTCCATGGTCCCAGACAGTTTAAAGAAACCAGCGCGTGGCCTATTACGATACCGCTTCGTAATTGGTTCTTCGGCGTCCAAATTGCAATCTCATTGGCTGCCGAACGGCGCTAGTGAGGTCGGAAGTCGCCACGCCCCGCGGTTTTCGAGCCACCAGGGGCAATGCGAAGTGCAAGTTCGTGTGCTTCTTGCGCAGGTGGAGCTCTGATTTGCTCTGATTGGAAGGATAGCGCGTAGACCGCAAGGCAGCTAGCATTGAGGTATATACCCACTATTTTAATATCAGAGCCAATCAGAGCTCGCCATTTTGACGTATCCGCAATCCCTGCGCAAGAAGCAGATGAAACTTGGCTGCTAAGAGTTCCACAATATCACGTTGACCTTGTGGGCGACCTGGGGATGCTAAGCTTTGGACCAGGTTGCCCGGATGCTAAATCGTCCGGTGTCATTTTTACCGCCAGAGGGCCAAGTGCTAATGGATACGCGAGCGGCGCTTGGCCGCTTATAAAAAGCCGGCGCAGCGTACGCGCAAGTGGGCTTTTTGGATTGCGGGGCGGCGACCACGTTCAACAAGTGACAGCAACTGACTGTGTTTTGCCGAACCATAGCGCTGTGTCATTCTCCGAGACGGGTAGCAGCAAGGGAAATCTCTGGGAGAATGGCCGCGAACTGGGTTCGTTTTTAAATTTTACGTAGTTATTTTCGCTTTTTTTTTTTTTTTTTTAGTTTAACCGTATTTCCGAGGCGTTTGTGCGAATTCACCCGAGAGAACTCAACTGCTTTTGTGTCTGCGCTTCCGCTCGACCTACGTTACGTTCGGTTTGTTCATCGTTATTCCTGTAAAGAAGAGGTGCGGCGTTTACGAATCCGGCGCCCCTCATCAACAGCTCGCGCGTCTTGGAGCAACGGGTACTTGCAGGCGATGTTTCGTCACACAAGCCTAAGCTTCTTTGAACTACGGAACCCTTCACTACTAAAGGATGTCGTCAACGGAGGACGCTAACAAAGGTCTGAGTGACAGCGTCGTTTTGCCACTCGGCACACTCGCGGAGGAGCTTATCTCCAGCAACCTTAACCATACACTATACTCCGTGTCACTATACTCGTTTTCACCTAAAAAAAAGAAAAAGAAGAAAGAGGAAGTTTCGCGCATTGTTCATACGCCGCGGGAAGTAGTTCTTGCAATATTTGGTTGTCGGTGGCAGAAGCGATGCTTTTGACGTTTGAAGCCGTGTGCGTCTTGATAAAATATATCTAACCTAAAATGCGGCCCTACCATATATCTTAATTCTCTATATAATGCTGGAAAGTAGTAATGGCCCGCGAGGAGCCAAACTGTTTTTACTACGTTTTTTTAGTTGAAAACGAGTATAGCTGTGTGCAGTGCAGGAGAAGGCAACGCCAGGCGAAGAGAAAAAGGGCGTGCACTAGGAAGGCGAGACGGGGAAGATGAGCAATGGAGGGCGAGAGGAGAAAGGTTTCTCGCCTCCTCCCCAGCCTTCCTAGTGCTTGTCCTTTTGCCCTCTCCTGGCGTTATCTTCACCTGTACTGCAAGGAAGTAGTGCCACAGAATATAAGCTGGCGGTCTTGGTCCCGGCAGAAGACATATCATCAGAGGGGGGGTCTAGAATAACTAAGAATGGCCATGGCCACGCTGATTCAGTTACAACGGGAGCAGATGACGCGCTCAAGCCCCGCTCCTGCTGCAACCATCCCGGCCCCTAAGGACTGCCAATGTATCTCGCTTAGCGTTCCGTTTCTTTCGGTGTACTCGGATAGGAAGCAGTGCTGGACAAGATACTCGACAAAAGTTTTTAAAGGGCAACTCCGCTTAATTCCAAAAATTGTGTGAATATGAGCGATTTCACATTAAGAAACACTAATAAAATGCACTACGTCATTTGCTTCGCGAAAAATGGGATATATTCCGTGAAATCTTACTTTACATATGAGCACAAACCGAAACTGAAACATCGGCTCCGTCGGGCAAGATTGGTTCGGGCCGCCGAAAACATGGCTACCGCGTGGTACGAGCGGTCACGTGATCCTCTACGCGACGACGGGCGGGATCGGGGCGGCCCACCGTATAGGGGGGCGGCGTGTGCAAAGCGCAAGTGTCGTCTGGTCCGCAGTCTTTACCATGTTTTGGTGTCTACGATATCCGACAACGTCTGCACAACTGCAGCATCAGTCTGCGCACGCAGCGTGAACGAAACTGCGAGAGTACTCACAAACGGCGAGGCGACGACGTGCGGTTGGGGCGGAAGAGACGGCCGTAAATGTGCGTTTATAGTCCGCCGTAACGCGCGCCTCGGCGTCTAACGTTCGACGTCAGCAACGCCAGGTTGGATGCGCCACGCCGGTCGGGAATTCGATCGACCCCTTTATAGTCCTAATTGTTTGACGTCGCGACCGTCGTGCGATCATATACAAAACGTTCCGAGACAAGCGCGCCCACTGTCGTAAACTACATAAAGTTTCATCCTGCGACGAGCACGTCGGCTTTCTTTCCATTCTCTTTAACGTTGAGGTCGCGGTAGTCCATTTGCTTGGTATTTCACAGCTTTGAGAAGAAGCTCAGTGACCGTGTCGGAGAGCACCTAGAGTCATTCTCGCTTTCAAACTGCGAACGACCGTTGCTTCTTCCCGCCTTCGAAAAACGCGGTCCGCTCACGCAGGAAGCTCGTTTTAGGACGTAATCTCGGTAAAAAAATAAGAATAATAATAAAAAAAGAAACCCAAAACGGAAGAGATGTTGGTATATGTTTATAATTTTTGTTGTAATTTATGACTTTTGTTTATTTAAGGAGTACTGCGGCTCACATATCTGAGCCATAGTAGGTGTGGTTACATATTGACTAGGTGTGATGTGCTGGCGATCACTTTCTCGTGGCAGAAGCGATTGCCTTAACAAAAATATCAAGGGAATTTTGAAGCGCAAATGTGTAGTAAATAAAGAATTTCAGTTGTAATTTATACAGCTTAGCCTTCTTTTGGAACGACCGACGACGTTGAGAACGACACTTGTTGGCTGCGAGGTTATATGGCGTTGGATTGGATTCGACATTTCACAGATTTCACGTACAATAATTCCCACGAGTTTGAGTTGCGTAGATCGAGGCTTGGGCAAGCTTCACTTCCAGCCCTCGAGTACGAGAATCTGGACCAGGTGTGCTCGGGGACGGGGTCGCAGTGCTCAATGCGGACAACGCGTAAATGTAGGTGTTCAGCTACGGTAGTACATTAGATGGGAACCATTCAGCTGTGAAACCGTGAGATCAAAGTGGCCGTAGTTTAGTGTTGCTTTAACATCTGTAATTTTGCGAAGTAACAAATATTATGATAGCTGCCATCATCAAGGCCAGTTTGTCTGTGGGAGCGAAGAGTTTTGGATCCATGTAACATAACATTCAAAATTAGTGGCTCCTTTTAAACGCGAACGGGTATTTTTATATGAATGTTACATTAAACTTTTACAGCCCTGTTTAAACATAACGGGTACTTCGATATGAATGTAACATATTTGCTTAATTTATAACGTCCATCTCTATTTCTCTGGCGTACTGTATCTTCTATATTTTACAAGGAGTACTGCATAGAGTAAATCAATGGTTTTATTTGTTTTTCAAGGAAGGCGGTTGAGTTGTTACGTAGTAACCTCTCAATACCCAGTTCAAATGTGTTAAAAGACACCCAGAAGCCATGGAGCTGCAAGATGTGCCACCAGAAAGGCTGCCTTGCGCTTTGGAGAAATGTTTATGCAAGTAGAAACTCTAAACAATAGAAAAGATCGCAAACTCACAAGTCCCAGCACACACCAGGACTCACACATCACGGGATCATAGCCAACACAAAACGACAATGAATGTGGAAGTAAGCAAAAAAATAAGAAAAAAACTTTTAAACCTTAGCGGATCCTTATGGGAGATAAATGCAATTATAAATACCTGCTTCATAAAGTATTTGACGTAAAACTCAAGTTACTTTCACTGTAAATTATCTTGAGGAGAGTACAAGTACTTCGGAATGTAATTAAAATACTTTCAAAGACACTTCCGTTTTGCGCATTTTTGTATCGGCTTCAGTAACACCGGGATGCTCTATTTGTAGGCAACAGAAGCAAACAAAATAAAATTGCAGGGCTGGTATATTCACTCCCAGGGGAAGGAGTAGCATCGATGGTGCATGTTAAAAGCCGGTATTTGTTTTCTTTTTTAGAGAAATGAGCAAAGATGGGTTACAGTGCTTAAAATCACAGCTTGTGGCGGTTTTATAATGCACATCTTCGACGCTTGATTCTACTAAACACCGCGGTTGCTATATGGCGAGCTCATCGTAAATATAGTTTGAATTAATTACGCGAAATAATGATCGAATAACAATGAGAGCTTACGTGTGACACTTCACGTTCCTCAAGTAGCTTACCAAACACTGCATTCAGAGATGACTACAATTTAAAACC